GTTTCTCTTGCAGGTTAAATGCTGACTCATTGGCCACAAGTTAGCAGTGTCCTGGTCATGTCCTAAAGAAGGTAGATTCTGCCATTTTACACAACCCAAACTGCTGGATTTGCTATTTTTACACTTCCCCAAATAAGATTATATACGGGCAAAACCTCTGCAAAGGATTGTTGTTCTACTAGACTGCTTCCCACACAGGTAAATGATCTGCTTATAGTCAGATACAATGTACTGTACCTGTATCTTGCCTCCTACACTGTTACTATTGTGAATGTATTGGGGAATGCCTGTTTAGTTTACCAAGCTTTATATATCTTCATTGGGTACTACCTGTGTCAATCTTTGTGCCAAATTGTCTCTTTTGGTTATTTCAATATATACCACTGGTGAGTGCAAATCTCTGTGAAATGTATTTTGTGTTCATTAATTATTCTGGGGTACCCTACATTTTGATATTGCAGATGTCCAGCCCTTCTTTGGATGTTTAACTGAATCCTAATATGATATTTTGTGACTGCCATTCAGAATCCATATTTCCATTCTTTGCATCAACTACAGTTTGTGTTTAGGATTTTCCAGTATTGTCACTCTGCTAGAGGGGTGTGTGTTTTTGGGTAGAAGTAAAAAGAGGGAAAGAATACATATTGAGGAAATAAGTAAGGGGACAGTACAGCAGAAAAAGGAAAGTAAATGAATAATGTGTTTTGAGCAATTATGAAAAAAAAACACCAACACCACTACTTTTGCTTCTTTGCCCAGCAAGAACAGTGTTATCATTGTTATCCCACCATATATCAGACTTCATTTGGTCAGAGTCTCAGCTGCTTTACAAAAATGAAACTCACAGGTGCTTGAGTCCCTCTGGTGAAGTAATAATACTTTACATGCATAAAATTATACCTAGTGGATCACTATTCTCGAATGTGTTCATTAAATATCTTTGCTAGGTGTGCTTCTGTTATAGGTGCAGCAAAAAGATAAATAAAGAAGACAGCACCTTCTCCTCATGTGATCATGTTTATTCAAATAAATTGTAATGAAGCTTAAAAAGCTACTCACATGTAGACAATGGGAATGAGCGATGTAATGCACAACAAACCCAAGAAGGAACCAACAAGCTGAAACGTTTCGGGGGAAATTCACCCTTCTTCTGAGCATTGAAGGCTTAGCATAACCAACTTCTAATTAAAATATAAACTTTGGATATATTGACGCATTAACTGAATCAAATGTGCTTGCAGTGAAAAGTTTTGATAAACCAAGTTTTATGATCTTTGTTAAGTATGTATACTTAACAAAGATCAACTTGTTATGTATAATTTAGGTTTAGTTCATTACAGATATTTACTTCAACTCTCCTGTACTATTTGCGATACTTGTCTTCAACCTGAAGAAATTCCTATCTACAATTTCATTCGGTTCTGGTACTGAACATGTCATTCTGCAGAAAATCCCACACAAAATTATGCAGCTGTCCAGGTATTGCTTTTCTGAAAGCAGAATACATTTAAAATTAGACATGTGCGATTTGTTTCGTTCCGAATCGAAATTCGGACGAAATTTCGGAAATTTGGAGATGTGTATGTATCCGAATTCCAGATATAACGATTGCAAACGAATCCAAATTTCCGATTCCTTTTTTTTGTGCGAACTTTCGTTTTTTGGACAAAATTTTGTTGCAGCAAAGTAACATTTGAGAACCAAAAAACGTTGTTTTCCTCTTAAATGTCACTTTGCTGCAACAAACGAACGAAAATGAATTATAAACGAAAGTTTGTACGGATTACCGCTAACGAATTTCATCCGAATTCCGAAAAGAATTGACTTTCGGACCCGAATTCTGAAAAACTAAATGAAGCAAAATCTGAATCAAAATGAAACAAAACAAATTTGTTGCTGGTACACATGTCTATTTAAAATGAGAAAATTTTAGTTTTTGAGTTTGTATATTCGGAAGATTTGTGCAATATTTATCATAAATACGTTTTTGTCCAAAAATACTTAAATTAATATTTGTATCTATAAGCACTATATAAACACTATATTCATTATTATTATTTAAATGTAAAAAGTGAAACTGTGTTGAGGTAGTAGCAAACACATTTAGACTTAAAAATGTACATGCTTCTCGAACGATGGAAAATGTTAATAAACAAAACTAAAAATAGGTGACTTGCATAACAAAACTTCACTACATCAACTGATCAGTAAGTTGAGGTCCCGGTCACTGAAATTATTATAAAAGCTTTAATGTGTATTTAATGTAATATGGGTTTACATTTTAACTGATTGTAGGTATTATTGTTATTTTTCATGACATGACATATACCTTCACAAGAGACTGGCCAACTCCTGAAATTAAAACAAGCAGCTATGCAACTGTTTTGACTCTTATTACTATTATTACATATTTTATACATTGCTGTCTATCTAGAAGATGGCAACAGGGATATATCATTGCAGCAGCAAACTTGCCCAGGTTCATTTTACAGGTGTGTTTGGTGAAAATACTGAAAAGTTTGCCATATGCGAACTTTAATGTGAACCACATTGAAATCGTCAAAATGCAAATCTTGAAACTCAATTCTCTCTATATTTAAGGCAAACAGTCAAAGGATTGTTGAACAAAGGGCACGGGGAGCTGAGTAAAACATACTATTCAGCAGAGAAAGTCCCCCGCTCCAATTTTATGCAACTTTAAGGGGACATGGGAAAACTATTCCTCAAAATGACATGTCACAGAGATGGCTTGAGGCTATATGTGGGGTTATAGAACATTACAATTCTTGAAAGTATGTATACTTAACAAAGATCAACTTGTTATGTATAATTTAGGTTTAGTTCATTACAGATATTTACTTCAACTCTCCTGTACTATTTGCGATACTTGTCTTCAACCTGAAGAAATTCCTATCTACAATTTCATTCGGTTCTGGTACTGAACATGTCATTCTGCAGAAAATCCCACACAAAATTATGCAGCTGTCCAGGTATTGCTTTTCTGAAAGCAGAATACATTTAAAATTAGACATGTGCGATTTGTTTCGTTCCGAATCGAAATTCGGACGAAATTTCGGAAATTTGGAGATGTGTATGTATCCGAATTCCAGATATAACGATTGCAAACGAATCCAAATTTCCGATTCCTTTTTTTTGTGCGAACTTTCGTTTTTTGGACAAAATTTTGTTGCAGCAAAGTAACATTTGAGAACCAAAAAACGTTGTTTTCCTCTTAAATGTCACTTTGCTGCAACAAACGAACGAAAATGAATTATAAACGAAAGTTTGTACGGATTACCGCTAACGAATTTCATCCGAATTCCGAAAAGAATTGACTTTCGGACCCGAATTCTGAAAAACTAAATGAAGCAAAATCTGAATCAAAATGAAACAAAACAAATTTGTTGCTGGTACACATGTCTATTTAAAATGAGAAAATTTTAGTTTTTGAGTTTGTATATTCGGAAGATTTGTGCAATATTTATCATAAATACGTTTTTGTCCAAAAATACTTAAATTAATATTTGTATCTATAAGCACTATATAAACACTATATTCATTATTATTATTTAAATGTAAAAAGTGAAACTGTGTTGAGGTAGTAGCAAACACATTTAGACTTAAAAATGTACATGCTTCTCGAACGATGGAAAATGTTAATAAACAAAACTAAAAATAGGTGACTTGCATAACAAAACTTCACTACATCAACTGATCAGTAAGTTGAGGTCCCGGTCACTGAAATTATTATAAAAGCTTTAATGTGTATTTAATGTAATATGGGTTTACATTTTAACTGATTGTAGGTATTATTGTTATTTTTCATGACATGACATATACCTTCACAAGAGACTGGCCAACTCCTGAAATTAAAACAAGCAGCTATGCAACTGTTTTGACTCTTATTACTATTATTACATATTTTATACATTGCTGTCTATCTAGAAGATGGCAACAGGGATATATCATTGCAGCAGCAAACTTGCCCAGGTTCATTTTACAGGTGTGTTTGGTGAAAATACTGAAAAGTTTGCCATATGCGAACTTTAATGTGAACCACATTGAAATCGTCAAAATGCAAATCTTGAAACTCAATTCTCTCTATATTTAAGGCAAACAGTCAAAGGATTGTTGAACAAAGGGCACGGGGAGCTGAGTAAAACATACTATTCAGCAGAGAAAGTCCCCCGCTCCAATTTTATGCAACTTTAAGGGGACATGGGAAAACTATTCCTCAAAATGACATGTCACAGAGATGGCTTGAGGCTATATGTGGGGTTATAGAACATTACAATTCTTGGGTGACACTATCATGGCATCCCATTTGTATGTGTAATAAAAAAAATGTTAAGGTGACGTTAATAAAAAAATTTTAAGGTGACGTTAAAGTCAAAAATGTTTTTCCCTCCCCCCATTGTTAATGTCAGCACTTACCGTACCTTAAATTATGTTACATTATTACTTGGCTTATAAAGCAGCAGCATCCCCATCTGATTTAATTTTAACTTGATAAAGGTTTTAGGTAGCGGTGACTGAGCTGTCACCATTACCAAGTAGCACAACACAAAATGGCACCACCTGCTCCAGTGGCGTGCCCTATCCTGCATCCTTCAGATTCACCCTGTGGGCTGTGAATAAGATGTAGACATGTGCACCAGCAAAACATTTGTTTAGTTTAGTTTTGAAACAAAAAGAGAAAAAAAATCTTTATCCATTACTCTCCCTGCCCTGGATTAGAACCTGCAACCTTAACAATGGCAAACCAGGACTCTGACCACTACTCCTATTGCCTCTGAGCTTTTAACCAAAGAATTGTGGTAGAGGGAAAATGTTGTCATTTTTTTTTCCTAATGTCATTTTGCTGCAACAAAATTCGTCCAATAACGAATTTCGGGAAATCGGGAATTTCGGATTTGTTTGCATTCGTCTTAGCTGGAATTCTGAATTCGAATGCATCCGAATCTCTGAAAATCCGTCCGGAACGAACCGAATTGCACATATCTAATAAGATGTAATGTCTCTGCCAATGCTTGCTGGACCATATGTCTGTGGTTATGTAGACCCTGCCACTGACCGTGTGATTCAGCAACAAAGACACATTTCCTTCCACCTGCTGGTGGAGGGCAGGAATGGAATTTTGCAAAAAAATTAAAATATTTATGACTGGGTACCTGCCACTGTGTTACTCTGCTGGGCTGCATATCCATGGAAGGGGGCAGACTCCACTGGCTGGAACTGGAGCAGCTGCAGAGCCAACAGTTTTGCCAAGCTGGCATTGAGACGATGGGAATCTGGATGGCTTGCTGCATATTTTTTCCTCACTCCAAACAGATGCATAATTAGAAAGTAGTCAGAGTCAAGTGTTGATTGTGGCAAAGTGCTACTTTATAGCATTTATCAGAATTGATCATTGTTCCCAATTGTGTTTTATGTAAGTGTCCATCTTTAAGCAATTTGCTCTCACTTCCAATGAATTGACCCACAGCAGGAAAAAAGGTTTGCTGTTGTTTGAGCATTTACTCATAATATGCAGTATATTTAATGTTGTAAATATTATAGATGATTCTGACACAAATTTTCCAGCTGATAGAAAAGTCCGGTTCCAATATATGTAGTTTTGTAAACCCCTGACAAGTTGTTCTCACCAACCCCTACATTTTTAAAATTGAAATGTTTTTGCTCTGTGTGCTCTTTATGTGCACAAAGTCTAAATCAAATATCAGAGTAAACTAATACTTAAAAATGCCATAAGGATCAGGAGTCTTCGGGCCAGTTATTCACAAAGCTGCCAAAGGCAGCCAAGTGAATAACCCAGCCGAAGTAAACAGAGCCAAATGTTCGGCTATTCACTTCAGTCTTGTACATCGCCCATATATCGGCTGTCTTCGATCAGCCTAACATTCTCATAGGGGCCGAACGGCAGTGAGTTAATAGCCGAATGCCGCCGAGTGGCATTCGGCTTGACCGTTCTGCTCGGTACCTCCGAGGTACCAAGCAGAATAGAGAAGAAGTGAAAAAACAAAGTTGAAAAATTATTTAAAAAATGATCAAAAAATAGGAACATTAAAAAAATTATATTTTGAAGAAATAAAAAGAAAAACAATTGGGTGGAGCTAGTGGTGAGAGCTAGCTCTGCCCAACTGTTTCCTGTCTTTCCTGAGTCTTCTAGCAGGTCCCAGGCAGCTGAAGCGAGCCAAAGGATCAGCCAAAGCTACAGCTGGATTCTTTTGGCTCTTTAGTGAATGACCCCTTTGGTCATTTAACCTCATGAGAACATGCATCCCATGCTGAAACAATTGCAGCTGGAAAAAAACACAGGGGTCTATTCACTAAGCTGCCGTAGGCAGCCGAGTGAATGACCAACCTGAAGCGAAGTGAGCCGAACGCTGTTCGGCTATTCACTTCAGGCTGGTACGGTTGATTTCAGCCGTACAGCGGGTGGCTTCGGGTCGGCTGAACATGCCCAGCATGTTCGGCCGACCCGAAGTGCAAAAGGAGTTCGACTCAGCCTATCCAACATCTGGATCAGCTAAGCTGAACCTCCGGCAGGCTACTCGCTGCTGTTGGGTCTATTCTTATATATGCCGAACATCAGTGAGTGAATAGCCGAAGGCCGCTGAGCATCATTCGGCTCGTCTGTTCTGCTCGCTCCCTCTGTGGTACCGAGCAGAACAGAAACATAGTTTAAAAAGTAGAAAAATAGAAAACGATTGTGCGGAGCTAGCAATGCAGCTAGCTTCGCCCAACAGTTTTCTATTGGCCGGCGGTTCTGCTGCCGTAAAAAAAAAACAAAAAAAAAAAAC